CTAGAATACCTACTCCAAAAATGTTTAAGATAAGGCACCTAATTGTTTTTTTGTTTAAATTGTTGATTAAAAATGTCAAATTGTCAAACTTCGTAAATTGCCTTGTTGAAATAAATAATTGCGCACAGTGGTATTCATAGATGTAACAAGCAAATAATCCTCAGCCTCCCATAAATTTTACCAAATTTCCCCTTATGTAGTTCGTGCACACACTAAAAACGCACTAGCTAAGACATAGCGTAATGCAAAAATAATAATAATTTGTACTTATGAATATTACGATGAAATTATTACACCAACAAAAATTGATAATTCACGCCATAGACATGTGTACTACCATTGATTATAGAATAGACTAGTAGTCTATTCTACTACTACACGCCATACAATGAATAAATACGAATAACGTAAACAATAACTTAAGTAATAGTACGCGAGACATCAATTCTATTTTAGACTTACAGTATTGCAATAAATAACGACTCGGTGATTCGTAGAAGACCTATTACCTATTAAATTATAATAATACGATGTATCTGCTTGGGATAATTTTAAGAATAGTATCCCAGTTGTTTACACTCGAACATTCAACATACCATACCATTCATGCGTACATGTCAATATAATATATTGCTATTGTCTTTATTTAGATAAATTTAAATTAATTAACAATTTTGTATATTATTTGTGAAATTATTCCTGTGAATAATAATTTTATTATTAAACAACTAATGACGAAATTGAAATAACCACAAACAATACATACAAAATGATATGTCACATAAAGATTGTAAAATAAAAAATTATTCGGGTTTCGGGTTAAAATCAATATTTCATTCGGGTTTTTGTTAATTCGGGTGGTTTAAAAAAAAATCATTCGGGTTATTTGAGTGTTTGATTTTTTAAGGGTTTTTAGGGGTGTTACGGGTTCGGGTTAATTCGGATGCAAAGCCCTGCCTGAATGTTTTCTAGCATTGTGCAATGGCGTAGCCAGCGAGTAGGCCTGGTAAGCCCGGGCCTACCCACTTTTTTCCAAAAAAAAAAAAATTTATCCTATTAAATGTGTAGTGTATATGACTATAATATATATTTAAAATAATTGAATTAATATATTGTAAATACGGTTTCAATTAACAAAATTAAATCCCGATGATTTTTAATCGGTTCTGCAAATCAGTCAATGACACGTCTTTTATTTTGAGTGTTGTGGTTTAATTACCGATCAATTCCTGTTAATCGGCATCCGACGAAATTTATAGTGCATCAAAGCCAGTGTATATTATAATTTATGGCCCGACATCTCGTATTGCCCGTTACCTGAATACTATCAACTATAATTACCAATATGATTGATATTAATCTTATCCATTCAATTGACGATTATTTCCAAAAATAACGATACTGCAATATCATGGTTAAGTTGTATTATTTATTGTTATATTTATTATTTATTGTATTATTTATTATTTATTGTATTTAGTCCGTCGCGTCGCTCATTTTCAAAAAATGAAATGTTTTTAATCACATCAGGAAATTTAAAATCAATTGCTATTTCAACTGTTTCGGTTTCTGAACCTAATGACCCTGGATCAAGTGTGCGTACACCAATATTAGATACAAATAAACAATTGAATTTAAACATTTTTATATTAGTGTAGCTTGTGAGGATACCGCTGTACAACCTATGATCAGTTTTCCTTGTACTTTTTATCTGGGAAGCAACGTAGCTCTCAAAGTAGTTGGTACAATAAGTACCCATAGTTGGAATACTCAATAAAGATGAATGTCGTATTTTGTTGTTATTATTGTTGTCATTTCCCTTCTCATTCTCAAATTGAAAATGATGTTCTAATTATTGGTAGATATTCTGATTGGAAAAATATAAGTAACATGATTAAAAAACATGATAATACTAATTCACATAAAAATGCAATAGCTAAATATGGCGCATGGCTATCAACCAAAAAAACTGGATCAGTTTCGAATCAAATAAATAAACAAGTCAAGGAGCAAGTTATAAAAAATCGAGCTATTTTAACAAGTGTAATAAAGTGTGTTTTATATTGTGCACGGCAAGATATCGGACTACGAGAGCATCGAAAACAAAGAAAATAATAATTCTATAGTGAAAATTATGGTGCAAATTTGTGTTCACGTATAGAAAGGAATTTCTCGACGATGAAAAGTGTAAAAACTTATCTAAGGTTAACGATGACAAGTAGCAAACTAAATAATTTGACTTTGCTGTTTATTGAGAGAGAAATAAGTGGAAAATTCATAGAAAATCTATCTGCTGTAATTGACGAGTTTACATCAATGAAAAAGAGAAAATTTGAATTTTCAATTTAAAAATATTTTAATAAAGCTATATCTTTTTTATTAATTTAATTTTATACTATTAGTTGTAAAACTTAAAATAAATCCATGTAATATGCCTATAATAAATGTATAACATACGGTATCTTGATACTTTTTTATTTTATAAAAATATTCATTGATAATCCTTACATCAAAATATTGGGCCTACCTATAAAAAGTGTCTAGCCACTGGCATTGTGCTACTTTTTGAGTCATCAAATAAGCACTGTCGCATTCTGTCAACTAGATTCTGCATAAATTGCAGCCTGTTGATTCCTCCTGATTTTTTACTGTAAAATTGATACCTTTATGAATTGTTTTCCTGAATAGCTTTTATAATTTCCTTTTCTTATTAACCAGTTTCAGCTTTCACACTATATGATTTGGGTACAAGCAGTATACTTATAGTTTTGTGAAAGTATCTTATGAGTTAAAATCGCAAATCGATTGAGACTTGAGAGTACTCGTATGTACAGTATACCTATAATATTGAAAAAAAATCTTGAGAGTATACGACATATATGTAGTATTCCCTATGGGAACATCCTTGGATGTAAGTATAGGAACCTTGGACTAAATAGCGTAGTGTTGCCAAAAAAGTCAGCTACATTTCTTTCATCCTCGTATTGTATTTTTTTATGTACATCAATTTCATCAAAATTAGAAGGCGGTGTACAATCAATATTAAGATGTAATATACCACCAATAAGAGGAATTGTTGTACCGTCAAAACTATGTAGTCTAAATTGGAGTGTGAAAATTTAAAATATAAATTGCCAAAGACTCAAATGAAATTAACTACAAATAAAAAAATTATAATTTAATTTTCATACTCACGTTGTATTAAAAATGTATGAATCATTATTCTCCAAACAAACTACTTGATTTTGTATATTAGTTTTGTATACTATATTTATTCTAATAAATACTTTCCAAAACGTGTATGAGATTCGTTCAAAAATGTTATTCTCTACCAATTGCATGATAGGTGTTTTTACCTAAAAATTTCTTTAAAAGGCATTTTCGTTGGTTTTCCGTAAACATGTTTTTACTAGATATATTAACCGGTGTAGCGTCCTCTTAATATATTTCGTCGTGATGTTAATGACAATACATATAATCCCACAAGCCACAAATTAATAAATAAATATTCATATTATATAGACTCTGTGGGAGGATATATCCCCTCCAGGGACGGCGCGAGAGGGTGGACAATAGGGGAGGTTGCCCAGAGCCCCGCGCCTTAAATTATAATAAAGGTCCCGCGGTTCTGATTTAACTAAACTTAAAATATTTTATTAATATAAATTATAAGACCCAACATTAATTTTGCCCAGAACCTCGCAAACTCTAGCACCGTCACTGATCCCTTCCACCCCTTAATTACGTCCCCTGCTACGATTTACCTATGATCTATTTTACTCTTTAAAAATAGTTAATAAACAGAAATTATCTACTAAATAATTTTGAATCTTTATTTCTCTGTAATAGAACATAGTATTAAATAATTAATCCATACATCGGTTAACATATATATTCTATATATATATATATATACAGTGTATTTCCTTTTAAAGGTAACACTAAATAATTCTGTCCAGTGACATCGGATTAATATGCGGTTATCAGAAGGGGATAAGGAATACATAAATACACATTTTTTAATGATTTTTACATTTTTAGATCTTTCCGTGTGCGCATGCGCAATACAACTTGCATTTTTTTAAATGGCAAAAGGTGTTTTGAATACCAATTGATTCGTCGGTCCAACAGATAAATCGTAGAAAATCGGGTTAGGCAAGATTAATCGGCATATTAATCCGATGTCACTGGACAGAATTATTTAGTGTTACCTTTAAAAGGAAACACACTGTATATCATTTTTCAAACAAATTTTAGCAGTATTTTTTATATTTAACATTTATTTCCTAACGTTAAAACGTTTATCAGCATTCTATTATAAGGTGATCCTAATTGGAAATGTTTTCGTCTAGTTAAACGAACGCATTATACCACATAACAAATTTAAAAACGAGTTAAGATTAGTTTAGATTGGAAGTTTTACTTTTATAATTGTAAAAGTCAAATTTGACATTAATGGATATTCATCATAGGTAGTACTAGACCCTCCTGACGGGGGGGGGGAGGTTATATTTCAAGTAAGATATTAATTTTATTTTGTTCAAATCTTTAGGTGAATAATACTATAAAAATTATTTTTTTTTACTATAATAACTCATTTTTAACTTATAATAGTTAAAAAATTCTTAATAGTATTATTCGTTTAAAGATTTGAACAAAATAATGTTAATATTTTACTTGAAATATAACTTGGCCCCCCTGTTAAGAGGGTCTAGTACTACCTATGATGAATATGAGTTTGACTTTTACCATTATAAAAGTAAGACTTCCAACTTAACTTATATTTAACTTACTTTATTTAATTATTGAAAATAATAATATGCATTTCAAAACTTTAAAAGTAAATATGTTATAAAACTCCATGCGTCTCAATGTTTTGAAAGATTCAATAACTTCGTCAAGGTTGATATTGTATGTTAATGTACCTATTCTATGAATTGGCCAAAATGTTATTTTTTGAACATTTCTTATATAAATCTATGTGCAACATCGTTTTTGAACTAGTCCCTCGATTTTACGCCCAGGTCACCAAAACCAAAAAATTGGGGTTCATCGAAGCGATTTGCATGAGATTCTGCAAGATCCTGAACGATACTGAAATTTATTTGTTGTCATTTAACTAAACATATCTGATTAAAGAACACTTTTTTTATAATATAAAATAATCATAATAGAACATATTATTTAAATATCAATTGTTTTATGTTTAATGGCAATAAATAAATTTTACTATCGTTCATCTTGCAGAATTTTCATTAAAATCGAAGTGTGACATTATAATTTTTTGATTCTGGTGACTCGAGCGTGAAAAACTTAAAAACCATGTTACATATCAATTCATAAGAGAAACTTGAAAGAAATATATAATTATTAATTTTGACATTTAAGAAAATGTCTTGAAGATAGAAAAAATTTTAAATAATGTTTTCATAGGGTCGTATTAAACGGCTACGCTTATACTAGTTACATTAAGTATTTCAGAAACATTCTGTGTATGGAAATACTTACGTTGGCAAGCAAATATGTGCACTTATTTAGCATAAAAACTAACCATATACTCGTCATTTTCACATTCATCGTGCAAGTTATTGCAGATGAATGTCCTAATGCTAGCATGCTTTACTATGGAAAACCCGAAATCACCATCAAACGTATCTGGCTTCCACATAGTTTTGCTGTAGAGCGGATTCGTTACGATTGAATTCACTATAAAGCTATTTATCATCACCGTAAACGTGGGAACAATGTCATCGGTAATTTTTTCCGTGATCATTCCAGTTAATATTTCCACGTTATCGACGTTCTTGTAAAGAAATTCCAATATTTCAGCGGTTTTTCGATTGCCGGTGAGGTCGTAAAAGCTTTTATAAGCACGTAATCCCAAGTACGTTCGATAATTATTGAAACTCTGCACATTGTTTTCCCTTGACATTTTCATCAAGATTTTTGTTAACGGCTCCGTCACGGCACCGTCATTGTTGCTCCTCATCATTCCCATCTGTTGCTCAACCATATACTTTATTGTTTTACTCATACCACGCTTCAACACTTGGCTGAAAAATTTAAACAATATCAGACTTTATTAAATTCTTATAAAATATTGATAGTCGGAAAGAGACCGCGAGGTAAACCGAAATAGACGAATGATTTGATAGGGATCGGTGAACCAGCAAAAATAGAAAACCAGAAAGTAAGAAATCGTTGGAAAGATTTGGTGGATACTACGAAATTCCTCCAAGGCCTGGAAAGCCACAGAAAAAAAAATGTAGTTTTCGTATTCGTGATTTTTCGTTAACAAAATTTGACGATTGGACGTACGGAATACATTATTTTTTTAGTGCGGACACAGCCAGTATCAAGCCCGTATTAAGGGGGGAACACGGGTAGGCACATGCCCGGGTGCGTCAAGTCTCAGAGGTGGCAAAATATTTTAGTATAATTAATTTTAAAAATGATGTACCTAATGAAAAAAAAAATAAAATAGCATGTTTTATTATGTTATAATTTGTAAATTAAAAATTAAAATTGTATTTTTATTTTATTATAATCTGTTATTTAAAAAAAAAAAGGAAATTGAATGTTTCATTATATTATAATTTGTTTAATTTATTAATTAAAAAAAGTATTAAACGATTTTCATTTATAAGTTATATTTTAATATTAAAGAATCTCGATCATGGACGAAATAATAAATGTTATATTATTATTTATTTATTTTTTTTTGGAGGGGGCATAAATTATATGCCTGGTGACGCCAAATTTTAAATACGGGCCTGGTCAGTATTTTAATGAATTAAAAAAAGGCCGGTTACGCGTTTAAGGCAACAACAAATCACTATGTTAACGCGCGTCAAAGGACCTACGGCAACCCGAAGGACTGACCTGTTGTCACCGAAAAGCGTCTTCCCTAACCATTCCGGTAAGCCGGACGGCATCATCATCGTTAACAGCATCTCCATCGGCGCGGCAAAGTTGTCAACTTCTAGCACGTGACCTTGGTGCACTTGCGGATCGTATTTCAGCGGCCACATATTGCCGTCCACGTTCAACACATCGTTGATCATTATTGTCATCATCTGACCGACGACTATTCGCTTGGCCGCGTCGTACAATCGGTTGTCCGTCCACGCCGGCCACCGTGCGGCTAGTTCGTCGCACACGCGGTTGTGCTCGCGCACCCACATCGTGTGCATTGCGAACAACGCCTGGTTCATGCTCAACAACGGGTGACCCATAGCCCGTCTATGGTGCACGTTCAACACGTCCCACCCGTTGCTGTCTCGTCGTCTTGCGTCCGCGGCCACCCTGTCGAACTGTTACGCGCGTACGTAAGTCGTAGGAAATGAGTACGTAATATTATGTGTGCGAGCGCGTATCAGAAGGTTGGGGAATAGGCAGTGACCGTAGCAACCAAACATTGCGCCCGGGGCGAAACTTCAAAATGCGCCCTTATGTATTTTTAATTTAAAATATTACACTTATTAGATATTATTTTCAATGATTGCTTTAATTAATATGAACAATGTTAAATATTTCGAAAACAAAACATACGACATTGACCGTTGTAATTTTTAACATTTAATGTAAGATTTATTATTTTTGCGCTCTCCTAAGAATCAGTAGGCACCTCTTGCCATCCCCTTGCTACGGCCCTGGGAATAGGTCTCCGCTTCCTCCATAGCCCCGCCGTATCACGTGTTGCGCACGTATTTTATTGAAATTTGTTTGGATTACGGGTGCAGAAACGTTAACAATCGCACGTGTACACATTTGAAAAGAGTACCCTTTCCATTTTCGTCCATAACACGACTATCATTGTTAATATTGTTCTACAATCATACAGTTACGAGAACACGACGCGTATGATGCGGCCATCAACCCGGTGATATTAATATATGAGTATTAAGGTACTTTCTCTCTACGGCATCCGAACGCAAAATCCTAACGCCTGGACGCTTCGTTTATATACGTAACGTTTGCCTGTTTTTGTTTTTTTGATTAAACTGAAATACTATCGTAGTGCTTGCATCAATGATCTAATGCGCATGTAGTTATTTATTTTATAATTACGATGCTACTACAATGAATTTTAAATAATAATAATGTTGTAGGTGAAATGCTCAAAGGAGAACAAGAGTAGCACTGTCAAAAATTTCCCTACTTTGTTCAACTAATTCGATTAATACTTCATCCTTGATTGATAAAAACACAAATTATTTTAATATTTTCAATATGTAGACGCAGGACGTCTAGACACATCACTAATCTGGACTAATAGTGCGTCTGGTCGCATTGCTTTGTTTTACCGACGTGCAACGTTGATATGAGTAAGAAAACGGTCACTTATAAAATGTACCTTTAAGCTTATAGATATATATAGTGTCTAGGTTGATTATGCGTCCCGTTTAACAGGGCATTGTCCGGTTTTTCAGACAGATTTTCAACGGGACGCTTTTTATTCCGTTTTTATGTTCACAACATTATGAATTTGTATTAAATAAATCAAATTTTGATACTCCCAAAGTTATTAAATGTTATATAATCTTGAGATAAGAACTAACAACGAAGTGTGTACAATTTGTTAGAAAAATCTATGAATATGAAGATAGAACAATTTTCCGAAGTTTTTTTATACAGAAATAAAATGCAATATTGTAAAATAATAATGAGTAACTAATTCGATTTTCAAATTTTATTCTATGTTATTCAATTTAAAAAGTTAAAGCGGATAAAGTAATAAGCGTATGAAAAGACTGAGAGAAGTGGGTTAGGAAAAATCGTTCTGTTTTTGCCCTTATAAAATTAGTCACAAATTTAGTAATTATAATTAGGTACTAGTTTACTACTTCGACTTAATGTATGTGAAAGAAAACAGAACAATTGTTCCTAACCCACTTCTATCGCCTTCTTTACATATTTTTTACCTTTATCCGTATACGGACCACATTAGAATGATTATGTATCACGTATTTTTTTTATATAAAACATAATATATGTGTATATTATTGGTAAGAGTTATTTGCCTAGGTGTCTTTAAGCAATGTTAAAAAAAAATCGGTTTCCGTCCTCATCCACCACCCCTGATGATAGATACGCTACTAATATTCTTGCGCCTACGTATACACATCGCAGTCGAGACGAAACAGCAAATTATATAGCTATGATGAAACATACCCAACGAGTCGGTCCATTAGACCACGTCGACCACATTCGGGAAAACACCATGCTGAGCACTTCGACGAGCGAAAACTGCGGCGGGTAGTGCTCATTGTTCGGATGACATTCGGTTCTCAGTTTCCCGCCGACGAACGATCTCAACTCTCTCCGGGTGGTTTCGTCGGACCCGTACAATTGAGAGCCTGTCACCTGCAACAGTACGTTTAACGCGATATTGAGTTGATAATTTGATTTCCAAACGAATATGTTGATTCGTAATAAATCTGTGGTATCCAGTGGCACAACCAGGATTGGTTTTCGGGAGGGGGGATGGTGAATTTGAAAAAAATAAGCATTTTCTGCAGGTGTTTGGTAGGGACAAAGAAGTAAGATTAAGTTAGGTTTATAAGTAAAATATTTAAATTACAAATTAAACTGTTTAACTTCTATTTCATATTGTGATACCACAAAAAAAAAAAAGTATTACACAATCGACTATCGAGAAATCGTAGCAGCAATATTGTTGATGTTTTAAAGTCGAACGGAACGTTACAAAACGTTTCATTTTGTTATGTTATTATTGTTATCAATTATAATACGAATAATATTCATATTTCATATCAATCAGCCATTTCGCGTCTTAAAGATAACCCATATTTTTTCCTACGTAGAATTAATTAACCACAGAAAAAATTCGGGGAAGGGGTGGGGTCACAACCCCCAAAACCTCTCCTAGTTGCGCCACTGATGGCGTTGCACTGCTGTACGAAGCACCGCGGACGTCGGCAATACAGTGTTATGTGCATGCGGTATCTACAAACCGTTGAGTTAAAATGTTCGCCGAAAAATTGCAAAACGAAGTACTGAGAGAACGTATGGAAAAGTATGTTCCGACGTTTAGGGTCCCGTTTCAACGCATCGTCGGGTTTCCTCCGGAACACCTGTTCGTACAACGTATCCAATAGCGGTAGTGCGCCTAGAAATAGTAATTTACATAATACACGCGTTGTTTAGCGTGCTCTATATTTACCAACAAGGGGAATGGAAGTTACATGTAGTATTATGATAATTACCGTTATTTGGGCAGTATAATGGATGACTGGGTGGTAAAATTCTTGTCATCGTGCCGTTTCGATCATCCTCGTCCGACGAGAACCCGTTTTTCATCCTCTTCATCTGCTCTTGATAAACTAAAAAACCCACAACCGTTAACAGAGTGACATCAACGGTTCCCGAATAAATTTTAACCCTTTGGGAACCGAGGTTATATCATGGCGCCCTTGATAAAACTACTAATCTATATTGTAATCTTTATTTATCATAATTTATTTTTACACCAGATAACGATCGGTGGCACGGCGTCCCTGTAAAGACACCATGGGCATACTTTGGGAACCGCTGCTGTATACGATTGAAGTACTTACACGAGATAATAGTCTTCTGCTGCAGATCCGAGGTGAATGGCAAAAACGACCACCACATACTGGGCATGCCTTTGCGTAGGTCCCAGTTCACAGTGTCCAACGAAGCATCAATGTACCGGAACACACCCGAGAAGAATTTCTCTGAAGGGGAAGAAAACGCAAAAAGGTTCACGTAGTACATGTTGTGGTATTAAACACAATCAATTACAATAAATCAAGGCGACAGGAAGTATTTTACACGTTAAGAAACCGTATAAACGCAGTAAGAAATAGATTAATATAACATTTTAGAATATAATAAAACATTTGTAAAATAATAATCATACGAAACACTATCAATTAGCATACAGGCAATATAAAGATTTAAAATTAAAAAAAAAACGAGGATATATATGACGTAATCGTAGTAACACTTTTGGGTGTCAAATCTTTGGAATGACCAACCCGCAGACATCAAATATAACCCAACGACTTACTTCTGGAACTGAAGAGATTGCGGATACATGCGTTCGGTGAAGCTGCAATCGATACCACCAAAATCACCGTCAACCATGACACGACTAAGTGAAAACGGCCAATGTGAAGTATATATTATTGCATATACGTCGCGTATATGTTCATATATACGCGCGTTCAGTAATTAATCACAGTGCTCGAATTGGCAAAATTAAAGAAGGGGACTCTATTTACTTTTTTTTTAAAAAAAAGAGCGTCCCCAAAACTTATTAAGCTTTTTTTAATTATAACGTAATAATAGTAGAGGGACGCTGAAATGTCTGAAAATTAGTAGAGGTACTCCGTCATCCAGCGTCCCCTCTAAAATCGAGCACTGATTGTATTACCTTTCCACCGCGGCGACTGTTTTTTCTTTGACAAATGACGAGGAGTTCATTTTCAACTCTTTCAAAAAAATATCGGTAATATATAGGAAATAAATTGGCACGACTAATATTTTAAATGAATATAAAATAAAATTTTAATAAAAATCAATATGTATACACTGAGCTATTTTTATTATACACTTATTTATATAAATTGTATACATTTCCATATTGATTTTGTTTAAACCAGCTAACAAATAAATAATTAAATTTATCAACCAATCATATACCTACAAATTAATATCATACGATATCTGTGTATTATTTAGAATTAAAAGAGTGAAATCTATATAGATTTATTTTTAACGTCCACTGGACGGAAAAATGTCGTTTTCCAACGCTTGATCAATGAGAGCACCTTTTATCAAACCTGATGAATTTAGGTGTTACCACTTATATAATTATTACACTTTTTATAATTATTAATATTATTATCTAATATAAATTGTTTTGTGTTCTTTGAATTAATAATGTAAGTTGTATTATATATATATTTATATATTATTTTATTAGATTTTAAATGTTTGTATAAACTTCACCTGTTAATAAAGATAAATTAATTAAAATGAAAAAAATTAGTAAAAACGTGTATATTTTTTATAAATAAAAGTAGAAAATTTACATTAGTGGTTATAATGCCCTATATTTTAAAATATTATAAAATACTAGTTATCATGGTATATGTGAGATCATTGGCGTAGCCAGGATTCTTAAATGGGGGGGGGGCTAACTACTTTTTTGGATAAGTAAGGTAAGAGAGGATATGAGAATTCAGCATTACCCCCCCCTCACCATCTACCACCAAGTTTCTAAACGTAATTCAAGCATTTTAGTATAGTTTTAAAAATATTTATTAATATATAATTTATAATAATAATAATAATAATTTTAGTTTCAGTGTTCAGTCACTTGCTCTACTCTGACAGCTGCATCCTCTTAGGTGAATTTCTGGCAAATTCAGTTATTATTTCACTTTCATCGAATTGCTCTTTTTTATTTATATTAGCCATAACTAACCCATTCAGTCTGTTTTCCGACATGGTGCTTCTTAAAAAAATTTTTAAGCGATTAAATGCTGAAAACGTTCTTTCCGGAGTGAAAAAGGTAACTAGTAACGTGGCGAATAATTGTAAAAGTATTTTAATGTTAGGTCGAAGATTGGTGCGATGAGAGAGTGAATCAAGAGCAGAATTCGGTTTTGGAATAGTATTTTGACTCCATATGAACAGGTTAGCTCTGATTGTAGATGAGGTATCATCATGGAGATCTTGGACATATATTTTAGCAGCTTTTATAATATTTTTATCGTCATATATATTTAAATTGGCCGGAATAAGTCCTTCAAGTGGCATAACATCAATAAGCCTTTGATTAAAACGAGCATCCATTGATTCTATTAAATAGTCAAGATACATTATACATATAAACACGGCCCCCGGGGGGGGACTATAGCCCCCTTAGCCGCCCCCTTGGCTACGCCACTGTGTGAGATAATTACATAACTGAAATTGTTCACATCTACTATGGTTTTTGGAAGTATTTCAGTGTAGTTCTAAGAATATTTTTAAAATTATATTTTATTACTTTTGATAAATTCCATAATAATAGGATTATTAAAATAGGATCCAAATGATATTTAAGAAACTTAATTTTTTCGTTTTTCCAAATTGAACGAATATACGAGTAGAAAAAACTTAGAATATACAGTTGTGTGTAAAGCTACGTTAAAAATATACTTGTATGAATGTATAGCAAAGTTAGTACATATTAACATAAATTAAAAACAATACAACTACTCAGTTCGTGTTTATGACAGTATCGTAAATACAAGTTATAAGTAGGTACTTCATTGTTTATCTTTTTCTATTTTATTATTTCCACTGTTTACTCTTTTACCGCGAAGATAAAATTACCATACCGCGTTTGTGACTCAAAAAGGTGTAACCTATTATAAGTGTATTGGTTGTTATACATTTATAAGTTAATTGGAAAACTGCTGTAGATTGTTCTTTCACCGATAATATTGTAATATTTCCATTATTCGTCAAAACATCAGGCTTGTAAACAGTTGATAATTGCATACCTTATTATTCATTACATTGTAACTGAAATAAATCAATAACTATATAATTTTCATTTATAGATTATCTAAAAATTTATTTTCTCGTTTTATGTATAAAAATAACCCTTACACAATTATCCGTTTGTTTTCCACTTAACACACGGCAGATCATTTTTGTTTTTTTGATATTAAAATAATTTTACTGTATAATTGCTTTACAAATACATAATGCCATTTCCAATTGGTGTAGTTCAACCCGTATTTGTTGCACGGAATGTAGTCAACCAAGCATCGAGTTATGGCGTTACAGATTCAAAACTTAATGAGTTAGAAGTTTTCTCGAATTGCACTCTTGCTAATATAATACGTCAGTTATCAAGTATATCAAAACAAGCCGAAGGTATGTTCGGTAAACTTACTCGTGAAGCTCAATCGCTTTCCGTCCGTGCTAACTCGTTACAAATTAGATTAGACAGATTATCCATCAACACAAAACAATTAAATATTGATGATGATGAAGAAGGTAATTATTGCATCTATGTACATATTAATTGATTGGTAATAAAATAGACGATATTATAAAATAATGTACGCATGCAATCCCTACAGTACCTTTACAACTAATTCATGCGAGAAAGGATTTTAAAAGTGCCGTTATTTTCAACCACCAAATATTTTCAAGAGATACAATGCCGACGCAGTTGTTTGAAATGTATTCGAAATGTGATAAGCTTCCTCCTCTTTATAAACTCAATCATTACCGGTAATATTTATTAATCGACGATAAATAATTATTAAATTATCATAACGAAACAAAATAAACACACATATTATGGGGATATACAATAGGGAAGATGGTCAAGATTGTATGAAGTTTTACACGGATCCGAATTATTTTTTTGACTTGAAGAGATTAAGCACGCCAATAGACGTGGAACAATTTACTCGTGGCCGAGGAGAAAACGTAAGTTTAAGAGTATGTTTGAGCTCGTACCAAAACATTGTATATAATGTAGTTAAAATGTAAGATATAGTAAAAAAATAGACTATAAAATATAGACGTGTAATTGTATACATAATTTTACGAATAATAGTTTTGTCTTTCGTCGCATTGATATTTACATATTAAATCAATTTTTTCGTTGAACTCTGCAGCGTAATGGATCGCTGTCAGAAGGCTATGAATTTGGCCGACGTGCAAACAAGATTGTTAAACGACCGTACAGTACAAGAGAACGTCAAAAACGGCTTGCTGTTCAAAACGGAGAACATATTATGTCTGAAGACGATTACAGGGCATATCGTCGGGCGTACGCGTCGTGTAACGGTCCAACACGGTTAGACGATTATTGCCAATACACGGGCGAAACAACAAATCTATTCGGTACCGGAGGAACGGAGGTTGAGCAAACGCAACGCGGTGCGGATCGGCCGAGGATCAACAGGCAAGTGGAAGATTCTTAACCGTTGTCGGACGATGTACGATTTTAACCAGTGGCGTACACATAACTTTTGTATGGGGGGGGGGGGGGGATCAGTTGCAAACAAATTATTATGAAAGGAAAATTCCTAAACCTAAGTACCTGCACATTTAAATAATAAATAATAAAAGAATTGTCAAAATAATAATTTACAATAAATCCTTGCAATTTTTTTGGTTTCTTTATAATTTTCTTACATTAAGAACACTATTTTGTACGATTTTAAAAATACCTGTGGGGGGATCTGACCCCCCCATCCTCCCCTCGTATACGCCACTGATTTGAACGTAAAAATTACAATTTTCTTCTTCTATTTGTTTGCACTCAAGTGGTTCGAACGAAACGTCAGTCGACCAAACGGTTCGTGGTCACGGGCCGCATTCCAACCGGAAGAGATTACCTCCTCCGCCGCCTCCTCCGACCGTGAACGACTCGCGTTCAACCGAATCATTACCGTCGTTCACAGAGTCCGGTGGTTGTTCGTCGGCGAACGTTCCGCCTGCCCCGCCTTTACCGCCGCCGGTGCTCGATGCGCTCGCGATGTTCGCCAATAGATCGGTAAAACGATCGCTGTCGATACAAGTAAGCGGTGAAGTAAAACGCGAGTAGATTTTAAGCAATGCAATATTTTAGTAACGATAACGTTCGTGTAATTAGTCTGTTCCCAGTCACGTAACACATTTGGAACCGTCGGTGCCACCAGCCGTCCACTACGACGCGAGACAGCGGAACGACGAAACCATTGTCGATGCTGCAAACGATACGGCCACGAAAGTCGGGAGCGGAATCGCGGAAAAAACGCACGAAACGGATTTCTTCGATTTGCGTGTTGATCTGCTTAAAGCTATTAAAGACGGTGAGTGATAACCTCAGTCCCAGTGTCGCCTAAACAACAGGTTCTCATAATGTAGCCGTTGTCGCGTAGATCAGGCGCGGCTCCAAGGAGATGGGCATCGTGGCCATGCCCCCTCCCAGGATTCTCAAAAATTTAAATTTTTTAATAAATTTTTATCCTTGTGAACTGTAAAATCCCGATTATTTAATTAGATATCTACCTAACAATTTTATTTTGCCTAAAAAACCATATTATGACATTATTATGAGGTGTTTATCATAATATAGGAATGTAGTCGGACTCTGTGTCTCAGTGCTAATTTAGGGAAACAACTATTATCAGTTAATACTTAAAATGCCCCCCCCCAGGTAAGTCTCTGAAGCCGCACCTGGCGTAGATGGATGTTCCCAGTAACTTTGGATTTCAAAATTCTACTACACCGTGAAAATATAGTTTCAGCACCACTGGATGGTGTTTTACTTGCAATAATATTATATTAATGTGTTCAGTTGCACCGAAGTCTTAAAAATTTAATCGGGTGAAAAATATTTAAAAAGCCACAAAATCTAAATATCGGTCCCAATGGCATACCGAGAGTGGGCAAGGCCAGCAAAAGGCATGTGCGGGCTGTGCATTCACACAGGGTGGCAATATTTCAGGGACAGAAATATGACCGAGGTTATTCTCCAACTTTAAATTTAAAATTGTTCAAAGCATTATAAACAGACGAACAGAAAATATTAAAGATTTCACAAATGCCAATGCAAGAAAAGTGTTTCGATAATAGTTAGAAACACTATTTTTATAATACTAATAAAAAGGTTATATGAATATACTATGTAAATAAAATAAACATACTGTTAGTAACTTTTATTTCTATTTTTTTTATAATTATGAATATATAACTGAGATAATATACTCGACAAGTATTACTCATTCACGCGATACATATTAATTTTCCACCAAACATACCTAAATAAAAAAAAAACTAATTTCCCATTAATTGTTAAAATTATTTTTAAGTCTTCTCATAATGATTAAGATAGTTATAACTTGTCAAGTTACATTAGACCTGAATATTTATATAACTGTTGTGAAATCCCTAAATTATTTAGGCATGAAAAAAAAATAATAGTTGTATTAGGGTGGTATTTTTATAAATTGGTACAGAGCGACTAAATTTTTAATGCCTGCTCTGAGGGTGGGTAATGGTTTTTACCCAGAAAATAATGATGTTAGGCTTTAATTTTGTAATGATGCTTTCATACGGTTCGGTGCTACTGAACGATTTATTTTCAAAACGAATTTAATATGCGATCGAATAAATTGTGTTTAGGCGTTAAGCTGAGAAAAGTGAGCAGAGATAAACAAAAAGAAGAAGCATTCGATTCCGATTCATTCCGTTGTGTTGATTTGATATTGTCACGTCGCGTAGCTTTTGAGCATTCAGATTCGGATTCTTCGTCGAATAAAGGATATGACAGTGATAGCTGTGTTAAAGAAATGTGCTCGAATACATCGAACAACAAAAGTAACGAAACTCCCAGGAAGTCATGAATAAATTACGACTAAAAACGCATGCATTGATTTGATATTACATGTATATTTTGACGTTGGGGTATTGAGCTAATTATGTCCGTTAAATTAAGAAAAATATAATCAACATATAGTAATTTGAATGTATCATTATCATGTAAGTTTAAAGACATAATTAGTGGTTACATTAACTTTTCACTTGTTTCATTTATTCATATATATGGTAAATTTACTAAATACGTACTAATACACATATTACGCATATTAAATTGATTTATTGTTGAATTTGTTGAATTATAATTTATTAAAGATAGCAATCCATTTAAACAATACTACAAAGGTCCTCAATGACGCCTTAGTCTAAACAAATACTTAAAAATTAATTTTTAGCGGTATTTTGAGTTACCTATTCTATTACATATTTAGTTTATTATAAGACTTCATTTGCAAAGATTAATGTCATTTTATCAAGTTTTTTAGCACATAAAAAAATTGACAAATATTTATAAAAAAAATAACATATGTATACTTAGATCAGTTTCTTTAATTTTATTTTTATTTAATTATAAACGCTATGATGGTAGAATGATTAACCAATAAAATTGAAGTTTTTTATTTTTAATATATTATTTACTAATATACTAACAATTATCAAACTATCAAATTTCGCCTACGCCAAGGATACGCCTTTTGTTACGTATCTCTCGTGTTAATAAATCTAGATCTGGGGAAAAACAGTGACAGATACAATCGAACAACAGAAAATGAACATAATTAGAGGTATAGTCGGTGATCTTGGCTTACCGCCGATGATATAGTAGTGTTGGGAAGGACTAAAGAAGAAATTGTTCAAACAACTGAGAAACCTTAGTTTTAGCAGAACAAGACTTAATAAAAGGCGATGAGAGAAAAATAATCCGGATCATATATATATATAGGCCACGATTCAACCAAGAAACAAAAACTACCTATGAACGATGAAAATTACAGAAATTGTACAACAGACCAAATATCTAAGCGTTTATTAGGAATAAATGGCTAGAGTAGTTTGTTTCAGGGTTTAAAGTGGCAAAAAACGGCAAGGGGACTCTATCCATATGTCATTCTCAGCTTTCCGTGTATTCCCATTTAATTACTAGGTAATTAGGTAAATAGCTATATTTATTATAAGGTGTTATTATTGAACAATTTCCTCTACAAAACTTTTCATGTGCTGTTACCTTATAAATTATTGTTTTAAATAACAGATATTTAAATATATTTTAACAAAATAAATAATTTAATAAATTAAAAAAAGATATATATATATATATATATTATTATATAATTTATATTTAATATGAGTTATTTTTGTTTTTAGAACACTGTTTAAAACCTAGTGATGTCTGCTAAATTTCAAACCCGATTTTTCAACTGTTTTATTGTATAACTAACAGTTAAGCGTTTGAGTAAACTTTCAGAGAAACATTAAATGGGACGCTTTATAAGCGCCGTAAGAGGTAGGGGGACTATGTCCCTTTCCACTTTAAACCTTGAATACACCAGGAGAGCAGATGGACAACTATTAAAAAAAGTATTCATAGGAAAAATGTACAATAAGTTGAGAAGAATAATAAAATACAATTAAATGTATAATATAATAATAAATATTGAACATGTATAGTCAAAATACAAATAATTGATCAACGTTTAACACATTTTACATGATATAAATTAAATATTGTCTTAAAACAATAAATAAAAGATTTAGCAGAACGTAACCACATTAATGGTCACATTTTTTGTTCTAAAAAAAATGATCAAACAGGTGAATATGAAATAAGATCCGATAAGGAAATTAAAAATCTGTGTGGAGAAGAAGACATTAAACAGACACTTAAAGGCAGAAAAATGAGTTGGCCTGGACATGTAAGGAGATCGAATGGCACAAAGAAGGATGCGCTTAGCTGGAAACCAAAAGGCAAGAGACCAAAGAAAAGATGGATAGACAAGCCCAACCAGAATTTTAAGATACTTGGGGTTGATAACCCGGAAGAATTAGCAAATGATAAAGAGGAATGGAAGAGGCTGTGTGGAGCAGTGATGGGCCTTAGTGTTCTATAAAAAAACAACGGAAGAACCATATTAATTCTGGCAACATCACAGGCCATTATATAACTAAGCACTAATTATTAATATTATGATACCTGTCAGATGGAAAAAGAATATATTATTTTAATATTTTAATAGTTATTTCATTTCTTATTGATAAAATTAATCATTAAACACCATGATTAATGAACATTTAGATGTATCTTATATTATCTTTTATTTTTATTTATTGATAGTAACGCCCTTGAAGGCATAGAGTACAGTGGACTATTAGAACAGGAAATGTATTAATCAGTAGCATATTTGGATAGAAAAATATGAAATTTAAGTTTCCAAACATACATGTAAAAGATTATATCAATATTATACAACTGTGTACATGCTGTAAATGTATATGCAAACCTATGATAAATTTTTATTTAGACAAGTGAATACATTATACTGTAAAGTGTGCACTGCAACATTTTAATGCATCATTGTAACATTTTTGTCAGTAAAACAGTTGTGATGCTATAAATGACCAATAGAATTTGATTTATAATATTTAAGCAAACATATATAACTACATAAGCTGCTGGTTTAAATTAATATCAATTATATTATATTTTGTCGGAAAATAATATTAAATAGATTTTTTGAATACTAAAAAGTAAAAATAAAATTATCTCAAGGCACTAGACAAACATACTTTTTACACATAGGTACTGATATCATAATAATTTACAATTATGTATACAGGTGAGACAATGATTATATAGTTGGTTAATAGTATTAACTTAATACAATAGTAATATGTGTATAACTCTCAGTTAAGTTAAAATACTAAAAAAAATAGTATAATACAAAATATATATAATGAATAAATTAACAAGAAACGTACACATAAGTAGATTAAAAAAAAAAAAATAATAATAATAATAATAATAAAAATTGAAAGAAAATTGAATACCGATATTAATAAAATATCAGTAATATTTTCCCTTTAATAAAATATACAACTGCAGAAAAGGAAGAATTCATGTGTTAGTGTACTATTCGTCTTGCAAATCGAGTTCAACAGGTATAGACGTAGTAAAAGTCGGCGTCTCTAGTTCCTCGTGTTTCTTCATCTTAACGTTCTGTAACATGAGGTTCTAGCAAAAATCATATAATTTGAACAAATGGAAACTGTGGGGCGACCGGTAAAAGCTTAGTCCCAGTCCTCAAAATCATTATATGCCATATAGCACGATATATAATAATATCCGTAAAAACGTCCAAATATAAAATGTTCACGTAGAAACTGATGGCGTATCAAGAACTAAACGTTCAAGATTTAATGAACAAGGTAAAAATCAAACAATCTATGATGTTTATGAACTTGAAAACTTTCTCTTGGCTAATCACGATTATCTAAATTCTTTGATAAAGATCTGGAATCTCAAAAAAGTTATTTGTTGTATTCGAGAATATTGCCTTATTTTATTTTTATTTCTTGTATATTCCCTCAAAAATGTAAGTGTATTTCATCAGTGATTTTATGTTAACGTTTTCGTGGATATTTTAGGTTTGGACGGTTATATTTCACAATATTCTCCGACAGGGGACTAGGACTAGGACATCGGCCTGGCCGCTCGTTATTACAGACCTGTTGTTGTTTATAATGGTTGACGATGTCTTGATCGGCCGGACAACTCTGAGTGAATGCGTCAAGCTGGTACATGTGTAACATATAACGCCACAGATACCTCAGGTCGGTTGGCATTTGAAAGTCCATAAAATATTTACCTACAAAGGGAGTATAGACAACAAGCAATTAATAATACTGACCATACAGTATACATAAGATAGAATATTTAACTCATCGACCCTTGCAATCAGTCGGATTTAGCAGGAGTACAATGCACCAGGTGTCATTAAGACAGGTTTTGACCCAGTATAACAATATATTACAAACACAGAATGGCCAACGGCCGTTATACAACTCACCCGCTACTCTGATGTGTTGCAAACGGGGCATCAGCTCACAATCGAAGCAACACATTGTGTCACCAGTTAAAAACCGTGTGTTTTTCTTTTCCAAGTGTGAATTGATTTTACGCAAGTGAGATAAAAGACTGTTTATGCTCACATCGTCTTTTTTTAAAAGCATTAGCTTCAGTTTCTGTAAATTTTAATATATTACATGAAAATTAAGATACATATGAAATGTAAATTAAATATCCTAATTGAAAATAATTTTTTTCGTTAAATGATAATATTGTAACAAGCAACAGTCAATAGGGATTAAATAAAACTAAAATAGAAAATAAATGGTTTCAAATTTCTGGACGAAAACAATCTAACAAAGATGCAGACTGCAATGGAATTTCTGTTGGAATAAATATAGTTACAAAATATTGTAGACATAAATTAGTAAAATATAGGCAAATAAGAATTAAGTACTTGAATTTATAGTATCATAAATCGACAAAAAAGTTAAAATAAATTTGATATAGATAAAAGGTAATAAATATATATATTTTAACTTGGATTTTATTAATATTTTTATTTTAGATAAATAATATGCTTAGGAATATGGTTGCAAACTTAATACAAAATTCAAGGTACTTAATAAAAACTTTATAAATTTAATTAAATCGATGAGGGGCCGCAATTTTCGGGTCGTCCATAAAAGCTAGACAATATAATTAGGACGAAACGAATGTTAAATGACTATTAAATAAATTCACTCATATAAGCATAAAAGTACACAGAATGATTGCGTAATTAAAATATTATAAAAATTCGAAAAATTTTTTAAATGGAATTTAGTAAATCATCATTTTTAGGTTGAAAATACATACTTATTTTAATTACCTAAAATCAGATTTCCATTTTTAATTACGAGTTTGCAAAATTAAGAAATTTGATAGTTGTCTACAGTTAAGTTTCTGATACGTACAAGTAAAATGTATGTCAATGATAATGTTATTTACAGAAAAAAAAATTTACCAACTACGCTAGAATTTAAAAAAATAAAATACTTATGCAGTGAAACTATAAAATACAAAGTCTTAAAAATAATATACCTAAAGTCAATACTTGTTATAATTTATTACAATTATATAAAATTATATTTCGAATAAATTTTTTTTTTTTTTAATTAAAAAAATTTCATATTAAAGTGATATGTTTTGTTGCACAACTCGTCAAAAGAACTAACCTATTGATGATAGATTAATTAAACTATACCGGAAAAATGCTACCAAATAATAACTATTTAACTATAAAACCTTACAAAAGCACGTAAGCAGTGCCGTAGTTAGCGGATAGGCAATTTAGACAATTTCCTAGGGCCTCACACTTACTCGGGGGCCCACAATTTGTTGATTTAGAATAGTTAGATATTTTTAGGTGTAAAGGATTTTACTGCTTTTGCCTAGGGCCTCACAAAAGCGTGCGACGACACTGCACGTAAGAAAAATATTAATATAATCTTATAATGTATTTATAGATAAAAAGTAATATTAATATTATGTCTAACGTGTAAATAATCAGAAATATATATTGTGATGTAGTTAAATAAAATAAATTTCATGAAATTACCTTTAATGAATAAAAAATTTATTTTATAATGAGGCCTATAAAGGGGAAGTATTTGAACAAGTTGAAATATCACAAAGATATTTAGGTCGAATCTCATTTTTTAAACATCATAGTTCTCTCTCTTTTTCTCTGTATAGTGTACACACGCATACGTTTACATGCACGCACATATACTAACTAACAATAATACGTAGGTTCATGTGTTGAAATGAGCGAATGAATAATATAAAATGAATGTCGTTTTGAAATAAATCGAGGGCTGTAGTTTAAGTAAGTTGTACAGACATTCTAGATAATTGACGTTCAAAGAGCGAAAACAAACTTCACAACAGTCAACAGGTTGTGAGGAAATAGTATTTCCTCAACTATAAACCAATGATAGACTCGGCGCGTGAGAGTGAGAGAGAAGGTGATAAGAACTTTATTGACTGTAAAATTCGCTGAATAACATATATTATATATAATATGTCGACTGCTTTCCGTACAAGGAATACTTGCACATGTCATGCACGTTAGACAAACAAGGTTTTTTCTTTGAACAAAAAGAAATAACACTACATTTCTTGTAAATATTACACACACCGTGGATTCATAACTGAGGGTCGCAATAGCAGATGTTCATTTATCTAAAACATTTTATATTAGTAGGAACGTGTTAAAATATATAAAAAGGTCAAAAAATTATATATATATAATACATATTACATATACGATGTATATAAATGTAAATGGTTAGTTTTAAAAATTATACATTTGGTATTTATAAATATGTTACATCTGCGTTTTCAAAACATTCGATGATGTTATACTTTTCAGACGAGATTAATCTGCATGCCAAATTCACAATTCAATTAATTTATCAAATAATACAGTAGTTGATAGTTATCTCAAATAATGTGTATAAAATACTATCAAGAACTATTTTAGAAAACTTGTCGTTTATAATTTTTTTTGTAGCAATTATTACCATTATAAATATTATTCTTCACACCTATTAAAATGCCTAGGTGTATAGATTTTTTTTTTTTTTAAAATATAACGTTAACACATAAATTAGGTGTGATTCATGATTATCGAATATATTTTGAAAGCATTTTCACAACATGCAAAATAAAATAACATCTTATCGCAAAAGCTATATTATAATACAAATATTGTGTATTATCCAAGGATAGGTGGCTCAATGTCCACATAAAATAAGATTTACGAAGCACGTGGAATTACAATTCAGTGATACATGCATTATGCGTATGAGGAGAAACCAGACAAACAAGTTTTTTTTTACAGCATGAGTCAATTCTTAGCTTCTGAATGAATAACAAATGATACGAAATGGAAAGTAAATTGATTAGTGTTTATCAGTAACACAGTGAATCAAGCTATAACTCAAGATCAAGTATACTGTAAAACATACACTGTACAAGTTTTCAATTAGAGTAGCCACTTCTTTATCCTGCACAAATAGATTGTATCCACCCGGTATGTTTTTCATGATATGTCTTTCGATTTTTTCGTTTTCCAAAACTGCCATTCCGTTGTCTATTAAAATAGGTGGAGGATTTGCATCAAAGTTACTCCTAAAAAACCAAAAAAAATCGTAATATATAATAAAAACTAATAATAGAATAAATTATGCTATTATATATAGAGGACCAAGAGAACAATCACATTTGAATTAAGATAGTTTTAGATTTTTCAAACAATTTTCGAAACCATAATAAATTAACAGTAATATAAATTAAATTTAACAAAAAGTAATCCTACATAGAGGTGGCTATTTTACTAACATTCAATATATTTTATCGATTAAATTAACAACTATTATAGGACTAGTATAACTATTTTTACCAAACACAGTAGGTAACTTTTAATACTTATTATGATTATGATGAATTAAGGGATAGTGCATACATTAATGAATATTTCCAAATGCTAAATATTTTAGATTTTAGATATTTCAATAAAATTAATTATTCGACTAATAAATACAAATACTTGTAAGTTTTGTAAATTATGTGTAATACACAATAAATATATATAGGATTATAATTTGATAAATAAAAAAGTTTTTATGCTAAATTAAATGTTGAATACGTCAAAAAATAAATACTGAGTTGTATTAAGATTATGGAGAGCGCATTTACTTACGAAAACTAAATTTCAATTATTTTTTCTTTTCATAAAAAACACGAGTTATTTATTATGAAATAAATCCGTCAAATAATAAAGGATATTTACTATTAATTTTATATTAGTATAATAAAAATAACTATCGAAAAGCAATAATAATATTATATTTCACTAAGGTATATAAACAGTGAATATGCCAAATATTACAATTATCAATCATAAATGTTTTAAACATTTAAAATTCGTATAGAATAATAACTATTTGTAAGTTATAATAAATTAAATTACCTAAAATCTGGAGGAGGTTTTTGCATATCAACTGTGGTCACTTTAAGACTGATGGTTTTCAGCTCAGCCAGTAGATATAGGTCCATAAAATATTCTTGACAAAACAGACATGCTCCTTTTCGGCGACCGTCAATTGTTGAAGCCTGGAAAATGTAACAATATTTATTTATTGAGTCTTGTAAATATTTCGTCTCACTAACCCTGATCTTATATTAATTTAAATTGTGTACATTTACCAAACCAGATTATTATACAATTTCAATGATTAAAATAAATAATAGGGCAGACTTAATATTATAACTTTAAAAAAGATTAGGTAGCTATTGAAAAAAATTTAACAAATAGAACTAAAATATACTATAAATAAAAATAAAATCATTTAAATAAATAACACAATTATTTTAATAAGGATTGAAAGTTGTATATGAAATCAGAATAATTAAATAAATCTAAAGAATATTAATTTTGTTTATTATTGAAACAAATATGACTCAATTAAACTTTTATATGTAAGAATTTTTATTGTAACGTATTAGTCATAAGTCATAAATTATAACTGTTATGAAATTATTGAAACTCACAATCTACTGCAGAAATGTATTTGTATAATTAAAGTTGTCAAAATACCCTAGTATAGGTAAAATAATAAATAATTGAAAATGTTACTTAATTAAAAGTAGTGCCTTTAAAAATTTATTGATATTGCACAATTTACGATGCATGTTGTACACTAGAATTTAATTGTACACCAAATGTAATTTAAAATATAAATAAATATTAAAATTGGATTAAATGAAAAATTAATATTTTATAATTATTATAAATTTGTAATTATTTTATAGTTTTAAGTATAATATGGCAATCATGACTTTTTACTTATGAGTAATAAATTACAAATACCATTTGTTTTTTGTGCACTTTAGATAGTAAATAATGACTATGCAATATAAACAAGCATTGTTTGTAATGATTTAAATGATGAGTTGAAATATTAAATTATTTTAATATATAGGTATATATATACATACATACATACATACATATATATTACGTACTACACAATATACATAACAGCTGTTGAGTTTTATTCGTAAAATAACCACATAAATACTGCATTGAACCTTAACGTCTTCAACTATACTATATCAATAGTTGCTACAAGATAATTAACCATTCAATCCAAATAGGATATATTTCTAATACTTATAATGGGATAGTTTTGTTTTATTATCCAATTAGAATTCACCGAGGAAAAACATCAACAAATAATAAATACCAATTTAATTTATTTATGCACTTCTACCTGACGTATATTATTATATCTACAAGAACCGTATATTAAAATACAAAATAATAATATTATGTATTATATTATAATTTTATAACAGTACCTAATTGATTGTCATTATAGAAAATAATTGTCTGATATTTCATTATTACTATTATATTCGAGACACTAGCAGTCTTATAGTACGATCAGGTTGTTAAAAATAATTATAAAACTATACATATACTTAACATATATTCTTGATGTTTGAAACGGCGTAATACTTTTTACTTCATGCGTAATCCACATAAATTAGGAACGTTACCCACCAAGAATAAGTTAACCATGAATTTTTAAAAACAAAAATGTTTGACTAAACGTTAAGCTACACTTTTTCTATATACTCAGCAAAGGGTCATGACCTAAGGAAAGAAGGTTAGATAAGGTTAAACACATAATAATGAAAGTGACAGTTTTAAAAAATAAAAATAAAATAAGATCATTAAGATACTAGGAGACAAACTACTTTCACAATTTCCTTACACATCCAGAACTGGTTTTTTTTCAAACTAGTTATCTGAGCTTATATTATTGCACGCGCATATATTTCCGTGGAGATACTATACAACTATGTGGAGTTGAGCAATGTTTTGAATCATAAGAACCGCAGGGCAATATATAATAAAAATTCAATAACAAAAAATGTAAAAGCGGAAATATATTTAAAAACGAATTTCGGTATAGACAATTGAGTAATGATATGACCTATCTCAAATCTCAACTCAGGAAAAAATAATTAATTATTTATGAAAATTACATTTTTAAAACTTAAACGTGATTACATAATATAAAACAATTCATCCGTATGAGCTATATGGTATGAACCGTTAGCTCATTAAGTGTAACTTATGCACGATTTTTTAACAGAATTAAAAATAATATTGTTTAAGAAGACTCCACACCCACATGTTTTGTTTCTGTCTGATATACGTACAACATAGTAAGTTTACGTTCAGTAGTTCAAATGTAGTTGAGTAAGCTTTAATATTACAGTAAACTGACCTATAATCAAAATTTAAGGGAAGAACATTATCAGTGTTTTGTTGTTCGGGTTTTTTTCGATATTTTAATGTTCAAGCATGTTATGAGTATGTAAAATATAACAATTAAAAAACATTACAACTCGATAAAAATTAAAATATCGGAAAAATCCATCCAACAAAACACAGAAAATGTTCTTCCCTTAAAGTTTGTTTATAGGTCAGTTTACTGTAATATTAAAGCTAACATTACTACATTTGAATCACTGAACACAAATTTGCTATATTATACATATGTCAGACGGAGACAACACATGAGGGTGTGACGTCCTCTTAATACTTGTACAGTAATTTGTTTGAATCAGTGGCGTAGCTGGGGGGGAGCTGCCGCCACCCCCTCCCCGAAATGTTAAGAATATTATATAAATGGTCTATGAAAATCGCTGAAAAAGTAAAAATATTTAAATATTTACATTTTAGTACTAACACTTTACAGCTATCTGTGGTAGTAGGTATTTAATGCATATACTATTGTGCATCTGTCGTGAATCGCGAATTCAACTTCAGATTTAAGACTTGTCTGACTCGTATTATTATCTATTCATAGATATTGAATTTTCAGAAGATCGAATATTTAGTACATTTGTTAACACCGGAAAAGCTTTAAGGTTAAAAAATAATTAAATAGGTATTGTTAATTAATTTTATTCATTATATTATATCCATGTTTATTAATTAGGGGTTTGTTTTATTATATAAAATGTTGGTCTATTATATTATGTCCTATTAAAAAAAAAAATTCATTGCTATTTTCATTATTATTTTTTTTTTTAATAAGTAATACGTGTAAAATAATTTATTTTATAATATTATAAAATATAATATCCAAAGTATTTAAAGTATACAAGAGTATTATTAAATCAATATATGTTAAGGGTTATAGGAACCAAAATCTAAAATATAACTTTAGCATCCACATATTCAACTTATGGAAGAACTTATCTAAACCACCGCTGTGTAAAAATTGATCAAAATTTATTGAAAATTTTTTCAATGATGAGTTGATTTAAAATCAATAGGTACTCATTGATTTAGGACTGATTTCTAGTCCATAAATAGAAAACAAATAAACGATGGCAACACCTTATAAATCCGTACATGACCATGGGTCATACTTGTATGTGAGAGAAAGCAAAACACTGAACAGTATTGTATGACAAGGAGAAAGCAAAATGGGTGCCACGACCCGAACCTAGAACAATATAGGGCTCAGTAAATAACGTATACGAGTGACGAATATTAAAATATGTTTACAACAGAAAGTACTGAATTCTGTCATTATAAGTTTGATAAATAAACTATGTCAACAATGTAAGATATAGATAAGTCAAATGGAAAATAGACTGGTTATTTGATGAGACGAGAAGAAGACCGAAAAAGAGATGGTTGGTACGATTGAGAATGATATGAGGGCTGTTGGTGTGTGCAAAGGGGATGTAGAAAATCGAGACGAGTAGAGGTTAAGGACAAGGGTGGCTGACTCCAAATAGTTGGGAGAAAGGCGAAGGAGAAGAAGAAATGGAAAATAGACAAATTGATTATGATAAAACAAATTGTGTCATAAACACATAACTATTTAATTCGAAATAAGATGATGAAATGAGATATGTTAAGGTAGGAATTTGATTTTTAAAAGGTAAATAACAAAAATAATGAAACTCTTAAATTAGGTAAAATCGAAAGATAGGAGAATGATATTCGTATTTCTGTATTGATATTTTAAACTGGAAACCGATAAGTCATTGCTTTGGAAAAAAATGATTTTAAATTAAAAAAGCGAATTCGTTTATATTTTTAAAAAATATTTAATATAAAGGTAGTTGAAACAAAATTATCAATAAATTAATTTTCTAACATTTATACAGAAAGAAAAAAAGCATTTAAAATTTGAGAAAATCTAAAATTTTAAGTGCCTACAAACAGCACACATTTTAGAATATTCGAAACTATAAAATGTCTTTAAAATGTTAATATAAGTAATCATCCAAGGGTTTTTAATAGCGATTAATATTTATGGGATAACAACTAAATAGGGTATTTCGTTGAATGGAAATTTGTTGAATTATTAAAATTTTATTTTGCATGGCTTATAAAACATTTTTACGTCTCACCAGTTCATTTTTTTTTTATTTTATTTATTTTTTTTTTTTTTGCGAGGTACAAAGAAAATCTAATGAACATTTTCTATCTAATTATCAAGCTTAAAGTATATGATATTGTAAAAATACTTGGTGTATTGACACAATTAAATTAATAAATAAGAAAAAGCTTTACGTAAGTATAAAAATTAAAAATGTATGAATTTATAACTACAATATGAAGTGGGTTATTATCGTTTTAAATCCAAATTTAATATTCAAATGATGGTACATTTTTTTTAATTTATCGGTAAGAGATATAATCAGATATATCAGTATGAAGAACTTAGCATTACATTTTCAAGATTTTTGTCAAATAAAATTATTTAATCGATATTTTAGAAAAAAAATAATAAAACATAACACATACAATTATCTATAAACAGCACAAATAAAATAAAATAAAATAATTTGAAAATTACAATATCTACAACGAACTGTGATATATGCATTTAATGAACATTTAATTTTTTTTTTAAATATAAAATACCTATAGAAATATATAATATGTTATGATTTTTTTTTTTTTAAAAATACAGATATAATTTTATAAAACTGTTGATAAGACACACATATGTAAATATACACAAAATAGGAATGTGTAATTATCAAACTATCTTTATATTATTTTACCAACT